GGGAGATAGAAAATACAGGACAATTTGCCTCTTTTTAAGAAAAAGTCGGGACACCTACAAGAGGTCTTAAAAATGGAACTGTCCTTTTACAAACAGGACTGCTGATGATCCTTTGCCTTCATTAAGGCACATCTCAAATAAAGCTGCTAATTTGATAGTCTCACATGATAATGTGTGGTGTACCTTCAAGATGAGTAGTTGTACCCAGTTGTAGATACAGTTGTAAAGGTATCCCAAAATAGGGGGAGTCAACCCATTTCCTGCTCAGATACGCAGTACCAAAAAAATCCCAATGGTGCCTTGCAGCTAACTCATGATTAAAAATACAAAAATATTCATGCACACAAACATGCAATAACCCCGGCAATGAAAAGAAAACTTACTGCTGGCAGTATCTGAGACTGGGAAATGATGCTGTTGGGTAAGCTGTTTTGTCTGCTCTCTGTAGTAACCTCTGCCCAGGTGACTTGAAATCCTGTCATGGGCTGGTGAAGATTTGCCTTTGATATCTTCCATGAAAAGTGACCCGTAATGTTTACTTCCTGAACAATGAAAGAGGCAGATAGATTCTCGGGTTTGGCCAGCACTTTGGGGAGAACTGGTGCTGCAAAAATTTGAGGTGAAAGAATGAGTTTAATTTTGAGGAACAGCTGAAATGGTGCTAATATAGCTTGAGATCTCAGGGTTATAGTCTGTTTCTTGACAAGTTTATTGTATTTCTCTATCTGGTTTTCTTAGGACTCTACCAACTTTTTGCCACCTCTTTTCTTAAGGGCTGTGTCTCCACTGGCATCAATTTCCGGAAATGCTTCAAACAGAATAGTTTTCATTATAAGTATTTGGCAGGCTGCTTTTCCGGAAAAGCCCTGGCAGGCTGCTTTTCCGGAAAAGCCCTTTTCCGGAAAAGAGCCCAGATCGTCATTTCCGCGATCGGGGCTTTTTTCTGGAAAAGACTACTGGGCTGTCTAAACTGGCCCATTTCTGGAACAGTGTTCTGGAATAAGGACTTATGCCCGAGCAGGAGCAGAATAGTTTTTCCGGAATAGCGGCTGATTTTGTACAGTTCAATGTCGTTGCTTTTCCGGAAATTCAAGGGCCAGTGTAGACAGCTCGCAGCTTATTCCAGAAAAGTGGCTGATTTTCCGGAATAAGTGGCCCAGTGTAGACACAGCCAAGATGTTTAGCAATGACAGGCTTATTTCAGATGACTTCTGGCTAAAATTCAAACTTCTGATCAAGTTCCTCTTAGCTTGAGATGATGTAAATGGTGACCTATGACAACAGGGAGTGCCATGTTAAAAGTCAGGCTTTTCACGGACAAGTAACCAGTATTTCTTCACTAAGGTCCAAGAACACAAGCTTGTCTCTTCTTGGCTGGGAGTTCAGGAAAACTCATGGAATGGCACCATAAACCTGATGCTGGCTCTGATAAAGATACTTCTGAAAAAGGAACAGTATAAACTCTAATTTAGGAGAGTTTCAAATTGACTTCTCTATGGCTACATCTGCACTGTGGATCAATTTTGGGAGACCTCCTGGTATCCCAAAATAGCTATACTGTGTCTGAACAGCACGCCCATTATTTTAAAACATAACGGGCTCGCTATGCCAACATCGCTATAAACCTTGTTCCACAAGCCGTAAGGGACATTTTGAAATAGCGTGTTATTTTGAAAGTTGGCACTATATAGACAGCACCAAATTATGAAATAAGGTGTTTTGAAATTGACTAGAAATAAGCTATGGAATTTGCTTAGCTGAAATTGCATAGCTTATTTCGAGCTACAGGTGCAGTATAGATGCACCCTATATTGCATCTGGTAAAAAAGGTATATTATAGTCCCATGGTGTGATTCTCAATGGTCTTGTATTTTGTTGGTCACTTACCTGTCCAAAGTGGTACGCAATCTGCCAAATGAAAATGAAAGCTTTTTTATACTCACTTTATACCGGTGTAAATAACTACATAATGTGCAGGCAATTCAAGCTCACAATTTGAAGCCTTATCAGCAAAGGAAAGTACTTTGGGATATAAACTAGATGTGAATTTAAACTCATATCTATTCCAGTATAACCCTATGTGTGGGCACCTATACCAGTATAAAAATGTTTGTTGTTGTTGTGTGGCTTTTTGCTGCAGCTTATTTGGGAAGGAGGTCAAGTTAAACCTAACCCAATCACTCTCTCACTAGAATAAAAGTATTTACAAAGTGGATTATAAAGGTATCGCTAATATTTGTATAATTCTCTCTGTACAACTGATAAAACTTTCCTTCACAAACAAGCCCTTAAAAGACTAGCAATGTCAAGGATAATCCTGCTACAATATACTGTTTATTTTAATAATCCCCTGAAATTCTTATTTAAGTGTCCAAATCTTACTATAATAATCTGTCAGGTAGGTAAAACTAAACCTCTGTGTATTTAATTTGATTGAATTTATAATGAAGAAAATTTTTGAAAGTATTTGTTAGACAAATTTCCTACTAAAAGAATTCAAAGAGTTCATCCAGTTCCAAAAAAAAAAAAAAACCCCTTTACAAAACTTGTATTTGAGTGCCTTGAAGTGTGCTTGAATCTTCTCTGCAAATTCTTCAGATTATGACTT